TTTCCCCGCGCCCCTGCCTCCTGCATTTTTGCCCTGTGCCCCCCCCCTTTTTTTTTTTTTTTGCTATAGGGCGCATGCGATCGCCAGACAGAGAGAAACAGAAAGCGAGAAATCACCCCCCAAGGGGGATGGCCACGCCACAATCCCTTCTCCTCCATTCTCCTCTCGGGGATCTTGGGCACACACGCACACGCACCCGGCGTGAGTTTAAGCCATCGCGAACCGCGGTCGACTACGTGGGAGTCCAGCGACATAGCCATTACGCTAACTGCTGGTCCCTGTGCCCTTTTCTGTAACATACCATAGCATGAGTTCAGTGGGCTCCCAAGTCCCGAGTCCTTCTAGCCATCCGCAAGGCTAGTTGACCCTTAGGGAAGACGTGTGCTGAGCTCAATTCTACGCAGACGCTATTGTCAGACCTAAGAAAGTTAATGCCCTTTCTGTCACATGATGTCTGTGTGCAAGCTCCCCCATCATCGCCAGGGCTGTTAGTTTCGGTGAACCGGAACATACTAGAAGTCTGTGTGTTGTGCTTGCCCTCCAGGACCCATTCATTCATCTGCACACTGAGCAGACGTCCCAAAGGGCTTGGGCGGGGACTGGCAGACTGCCCCGAGTCCTAGATGTGGGGTTATTCTCTCGGGTACCCTCTGCCACCGTCCTCTCCACGTGCGGCCTGAGCAGCAGCAGGCGAGAGAGGACTGGCCTCTTGTCCTACTTCTCTCACTGTTGCCGCGGTACTGGCCGGCGCCTTCCCCACCCGCCTGGCTGCGCAGGATCCCTGGAAGGCGCACCGTGCGGCTGCAGTTGAGCCGCCTGGCCACTGTGCGGCGCTGGCGTGAGGCCTGGCGGCGTCGCGGGCATATGACGTCACGGCGCGCGCCTGGGAGAAGCGGCGCGTGCGACGGGTTCCCGGGAGCTGGGTCTCGGTCGCAGTCACTATGGTGTCACGCGTGCAGCTCCCGCCCGAGATCCAGCTGGCGCAGCGCCTGGCAGGGAACGAGCAGGTGACCCGGGACAGGGCGGTGAGGAAGCTCCGGAAGTACATCGTCGCCAGGACCCAGCGGCCGGCAGGTAGGCGGGGTCCAGGGGCCGCGTGTAGCCGCAGCAGGCCTGACGAAGCCGTGGGCCCAGCCGCGCGTCGTGGCGGGTCTGTGTTTCTCTACTGGCCCCGCGTATCGCTGGTCGTGATGCCCATTCGTTTGCGTGACCCTTGGATCATCGCCCGAGTTTCACTTGGGGTCTCCCTGAGATCCGCGAATGCGCATCTTGTTAACCAAACATGGTTCCTTGATTTTCCAAGTGTGAGCCCCGCCCCAGGCTTCAGAATCACCTCGGCGTTTGTTAGAAATGCCACCACCAGGTTCTTGGTCCAGGCCTGCCGGATCAGGGCTTTGAGAATTCCTCCGTGATCCTGACCGCTGCTTTAGGACGGTGCCGGAGCTAGGACTGCAGTGAGTCCTTGCAATCGAGCAAAAAGGTTTTGTGTAGCTGCCTCTGTTCCTCCAGCCTGCACGACAGAGTTGACTTTTCCTTTTAAAATTAGAGGTGTAACAGGAAAGTGCACAAACATTGCTCCTCAGTGTAACCCTAGGTAGATTATCACCAGTGGACTAGCCTGCACCATCACTGGTCAACTGGGGAAATGGTTGAGGTTATCAGTGCAATTTCCAAAACAGCGTGCCATCTGCCTTGCAGTTTCTCCCTGTTTAGTGAGTGAAGAGGACCTCTTACCTGGAGGACCTCTACAGCCCCAGGACAGCAGTCAGTTATACCAAGTCTAATTCAAAAGTCACATTTTCCTGCCTTTGTTTCGGACAGTAAAAGTTGGGGCGTGTATAGTCTGACTTTTGAATGTTGCTGTTTTGGTGCAGGTGGCTTCACTCATGACGAGCTGCTGAAGGTATGGAAAGGCCTGTTCTACTGCATGTGGATGCAGGATAAGCCCCTGGTTCAGGTGAGTGGGGAGGTGGGGTGGAGGGCAGAGCAGAGGAAGACCAAGGCAGGCAAGTGGATGACAGAAGTTGTGTAGTCCTGATGCTGTGTTCTGTGTGGCAGGAGGGGCAGGGCCTTTGGTTAGAGCAGGCCTTAGGCTTGCCAAGGGCATGGACATTGCTGCTGAATTGGGCATCATCATGTAGCAGCTCTGGTGGTAGGTGGATAGGTTGGTGTGGGCAAAACTGGGTGTCGTGTCCATTCTGGTCACAGACATTGTGCTGAAATAACAGATACCAAGCCACAGGATCCAAATTCTGAGACATAGATTTCTGCTGGCTAGCCTATTTTGAACAATGTTTTTTTGGTCAGAGGGCACATGTACTTTCCAGAGAGAGAGAGAGCGAGCGAGCGAGAGAGAGCAAGAGAGAACCCCAAGAGGTGTGGTTGTGAACCCTCTTCCTTCATTTCTTCAGCTATCTACATGAGGGCCCAGGATTATGGGCACTCATGCCTGGCGTGTTTTTCAAACCAGTGGGGCCGGGATTTGGACCTTGGAGAGCTATATGAGATCTAGGTCCCTGTGTTCAGGGCTTAACTACTATGCTAGGGGGCCTAGAGCAATGTTTTTATAGTGTGAATTGTTTTTTTCTTTTTAAAATCATTTAAAAAAATTTTTTAGGGCACGTGCACTTGAACAGGGGGAGAGATACCCTCATAATCCCTTCTCCGTTCTCTCAGAATTTGGGGCACACATGCACAGGGGCCTGGCGTGATTTTCAAGCCATTGGGTCTGAGACTTGAAACATGTAATTGGCTTTGTGGGGTCCAGCCTCCTTAACCACCACATTAGCTGACTCGCCCTACTGTCAATTTAAAAAAAAAAATAAATAATTATTTATTTATTTATTTTTAAAATTTGCTACAGGGCACATGTACTCACCAAAGAGGCAGAGAGAGAATGAGAGAGAGAGAGAGAGAGAGAGAGAGAGAAAGAACAAGCCACCAGGTCTGGGACTCAAACTGTGGTTGACCATGTGGGAGTCCAGCACCTTAACCACCATTTTATCTGCTGGCCCCCCCTGGTGTGAATTTTTCAGTCTTCTTCAAAATCACCTGCATGGTGAGGGCACATTGGCACACTTTAAAATGCCGATTCCTGGGCCGTATTTTGTTCTTACTAACTTACCACCTCCTAAGGGGAGGCTCTGGGGCCATTATCTTAACAAATGCACTGGATGACACTGGTGCAGTGTTGGAGGCAGTAAGGGAATGATTTTTGAGGCTCTCCTGCTGATAAGGCACTGTGTGTCTGAGGCTTCCTCCTGCTCTTTCCAGCGATGGCCAAAAAATCTTTCCCTCTATGGCCAGAACCTCGGGAGGGGAGGGCAGCAGCTGTGTCGATGTGTGGTGGGCTCTGCTAGCCTGGCAGGAGGAGGCCTTCACAGCGGGGTGGGACCTGCAGAGCTCCAGCCCACTGGAGTGGGAACTGCTGGAAGCTGGTTCTCTAGATGAGTGGGAGACAGAGTGGACAGTTGATTCTGTGGCTCTTATAGTAGGAGCACAGTGTTTTAGGGGCTGAGGGCAGTTTTATTGTTTCCCACACAGGAAGAACTAGGAAGGACTATTTCCCAGCTCATCCATGCTTTTCAGACCACAGAGGCACGTGAGTATGCTTTGCAGCACTTAAGACACTTTTTTGTTGTTTTCTTTTTCTTTTTCTCTTTTTCCCTTGTCAGAGGGCTTGTGTGCTTACCAGAAAGAGAAAGAGACAGTACCCCACCCCTTGGGGTGTGGTCACACTGCAGTCTCCTGTCCTCCGTCTCTCCTTCCTGTCAGGATTCTGGGCATAGGAGCTGTCAGGCCGTTGCTGATGTCCCTGTTCAGGGTTAGTTCAGTTATACTAAAGATGGCTACATGATCAGAGCTAGGGCAGGTTGGCAGATCGTTACAAATAACTAGTGTCTGTGACTTTAGGAGAATTGCTTTAACTGTATTTTTTGAGCAACAAATGGAGTTATTCTGTTCATATTTTAATTTTCTAAGAACTTTCAGAAGTTTCTGTGCTCTGATTCGGTGATATTTGTATAATTTAGTAAACACAGACGCATCCAGTACTAAACCAGACGACCCATGCTTCGCTGTTGGAGAAACTAACGGGAGATATGACGTGCCCTGTTTCCCAAGACTGAAGTGTCCACAGGGTTGGTTCCTCTGAGGACTCCCTCCTTGGCTTGCAGATGCTATGCTCTCCCTGTGTGTTCTGGCTGGTCTTCTGAGTGCCCTAATCTCTGCTGTAAGGACATCAATTAGATTGGATTAGGGCTCATCCTAAGGGGCCCATTTTACTTGAATCACCTCTGTAAAGGCCCCCACTCCAAATACAGTCACATATCAGGAGTTGGGACATCAGTATACAATGTGAATTTGGGGGCTCACGGTTCTGCCCATCGCACCCTATGTCAGACGTGTCCATTAACCTGGAGTGCATGTACCTGACTGTGTTAGTGAATCTGCTGGGCACACTGTACATAGTTATGTGCAGGTTTGGCCTGAGGGTCAGGTAGGCCTCAGGCCAAGCCAGGACACATGCCACGAAAGAAGCCCTGAGCTCCCACTGGCAGCTATACCCTGCTCTGTGCCCAATCTTCAGAAAACACAGCTGCATTGGGGTTGCAGCTGTGCCCTCTCTGGAGTCTGATGGCCCCTGCTCTGAGCTGGATGGAGAGCGCTGCTTCACCCAGCCACCTCCATGCCTGTGCTGTCTCAGATCACACACGAGAGCTTCTGAGTGGACTTCTTCGGGTTCTCACCTCACTTCCCAAAGTGGCTCCTGCGGTCCTCAGTGCTCCTCTTCTGTTGCTAATGTGTGGCTTCTGCTCCTCAGAGCACTTGTTTCTTCAGACCTTCTGGCAAACCATGAACCGCGAGTGGGCAGGCATAGACAGACTGCGCCTGGATAAGTTCTACATGGTAAGGCAGCTGTGGGCTCGGGGCTGGGGCAGGTAGCAGCAGCCGCAGGGCCCAGCAGTGCAGGACAGGCCATGAGGACCAGGGCACTGCTATGCTGCGAGTCGCCATGCCATCTTACTGCACGCAGTTGCTGGTCCTTTGTGCTTTTTTTAAGACAGATTTTTGCTATAAGGTGTGTGCACTCGCTGGAGACAGAGATAGAAAATGAGAAACCACCCCCAGGGGAGACGGCATCCCCACAATCCCTTCTCCTCCATTCTCTCAGGATTTTGGGCACACCCGCACATGTGAGTTTCAAGTCACCAGGTGTGGTACTCTAACTGCTGTGGGCCATGTGGGGGTTCAGTGCCACCTGCTGGCTCTCCTTTGTGCTTTTCAAGGTGTGCTTCCCACAGTCCCTGGCATGACCAGGTCCAGCAGTACAGCCCTGCCATCAGGGCTCCCCCGCTGGCTACTGCATGAGAAGGTGTTCTGGGTTGAGGGAGCTCTCCACACAGGCTTAAGACACCTCTGACTTGTGGCTTTTTGTCATGCCTATGGCCCAGTGGGCATGCCGGATTAATATTCTAAAGGCTGGGAAGCTGGGCAGGATCTACTTTGGGTCATCTTAATAGGAAGTTGTGAATGGCAGGACAAATGTTGCAACTTCACTTACTCATAGGCATGGGGGTGGGCAGGTTCTCTGCTGGGGAAGAGAGGCCCTGGGGCTATGGAGGAGACCTGCCCACTCTGGCCTGGCTTGCCTACTGAAGGTGCTGCCTCCCAAGAGCATTGGCTCTTGTGAGAGAAGTTCTGCCTCGTCCTGTCCTCACTTCTGAACCAGGCATGTTCATTCCAGCTCCAGTTTATGAGCTAGAACCACAGACTGGGCTTAGGCCCCAGAAGTCTGCCCTCCTGTTGTTCTTGGAAAGTTGGGGCATCTCACCCAGGCTTCCGAGGGCTTGCTGCCGTGTCTGCCAGCCTTGAGGACTGCGTTAGCAGCTTTCAGGGGCCTGCCATGGGCTTTGGGGCAGGCAGAGGTGACCAGGTACAGAGAGGAGGGAGGGGATTTGTGAAGTCTGGGTTGTGCTTCCACTAACGGGAGTCTCTTTGTGCCAAGCTCATGCGGATGGTTCTGAACGAGTCCTTGAAGGCTGTGCAAATGCGAGGATGGGAAGCAAGGTTGGTACACACCACGTCTCCTCTCATGGGACCATCTGTAGGGAGTGATGCCGTGCACCCTCAGCCTTGTGTTCAGAGTCACATGTCTCTCTGTCTCTTTTTTCCTTTTTATTCATATTAGGGTGTGAGGGTGTGCATATGGCCCTGGCTGGATGTGAAGGCTGGGGGACTGTAGCATGAAACGCTGTGAAAGTTTCTCTCTCTCGCTGTCTCTTCCTCTCATGAAAGAAAGAAACTTTAAAAAGCAATTAGGCCAGCAGGTGGTATGGTGGCTAAGGGCACTGGACTCTTAAATGGCCGACTACAGTTTGAGCCCCAGACCTGGCGACTTGCTTTCTCACTTTCCTTCTCTCTATCTTTTTCTCACTCTGGTCAAATTACAAAAATAAAAAATAAAAAAGTTAAAATAAAATAATCAAGAAAGAAAAAGGAATTGGCAGGAGTTACCTGACTTTCTTTAGGTTTGAGTTACTACTGGCAATTATATGTTTCAGGCAGCAGCCCCTAAAGTTTTGAGTGATTGTCATCCTTGAATTCCCGGTGAGGACTCCGAGGCCAGGAGTCTTTTGTGCAGTGTAGAACTCAGCACTAGATCCCAATGGGATGAGTTAAATGTTAAAGAGATGATTTTGGTTAACTTTTTTTGGTTTGTTACTACCAAAAGAAAAAAAAAAAAACAGCCTTATTATAATCAGTAATTTAACACAGAGAGAACCTTGAAGACAGTGGTACCTCCCCACATTGCCCCAGGGCAGCCTGTATGGTCTGTACTGATAGCCACCCTCAGCTCCCCTGCAGACATAACTGTTTCTTTGGCTTTTTAATGTTTGCTGGTGTTACTACAAGCCTTGGGAGTAAGCCTCTTGGGTCTGCATGTCTTTCCCTGGTTTTATACCTGGACTTGGCTCTCTTCTTTGCCCTGAACCTTGCAGAGCTTTACTTTTCCATCCTGTAGCCAGCAGTTCCCAAACCTTACTAGGAGCTTCTTAGACATTTTAAAATTCGGGTTGTAGGGGTCTGTGTTGTCACGATCCGCTGGAGTTCAGATGCATCTAGACTGCTGAAGGCTGCTCCCTGGGGCTCTTGGGTTTGGGGATCAGGGCTTCTGAAGCCATCGAACTTACATGCTAGGAAGAGCCTGATGCACACGTATCATAGACCTGGGCCTTGACAGCAAGACCTGGAGGCCAACAGGTGGCTTGCCGTCCTCCATCCCTTCCTGGCTCCCTCTCCTTTTTGCCTGCTCTGTCTTGACATCTTCCCGAGATGTACCTAGTAAGGAAGCCAGGCAAGGTGGTGGTAGCATGGTGTCCTGGTCAGCCTTGCTCCCTCCACCTGCCATCTTGAGGGTGGGAGGCCTGTCGAGTTTTGGCATGTGCTGCACTTTGTGGGTGAGGCCAGCTCGTGGAGTTCTGATGCTGGTGAGGGTCAAAGAACCCCAGACTTCTCTTGCTGGAAGGGGCCCAGGGTCTCTGGCCTTCACTTTGTTCTAGAGTGATGTCTTCATCCATGGAGGTGTGTCCCTGCTCTCCTGTTCCCATCAGATCTTAAAACTCAGGGAGAGAGAGACCATTGCAGACTGACCTGGCCACCTGCCAAGCCTGCTCTTTCTGTGTTCAGACAGATCGAACAGCTGCTGAAGCTGCTGACAGCTGAGATTCTGCACCCCAACAGCCAGGCCCCCAATGGAGTGAAGAGCCACTTCATTGAGATCTTCCTGGAGGAGCTGACCAAAGTGGGCGCCGCGGAGGTGAGGTGGCATCTTGCCCGACACTGAGCTTGGCACTGGGTGCTGATGAATAGGAACTGAGGCTATTCCCTTCTTTCCCCATAGCTCACGGCAGACCAGAACCTCAGGATTATCGATCCCTTCTGCAGAATTGCTGCACAGACTAAGGAGTAAGTGGCAGGGGGGCCT